CAAACCCCAGCGGCTTTGGTGGTAGTTAACCAGGTGAATGTTGGCGGAACAAGTCTCAGTACAGTGATGGCCGCGTAAGGGTCTTTGTCCAATGAAGGGCTTCATATACAGCAGCAGTCCCCCGAAAAATTCCCGTAGCCTGTGGCATTGCTGCGGTCACACTGCCATGGGGCAACATCGCATGTCTGGGGCAGTGTGAACAGTCCTGCCAGCCGTGTAAAGCACAGCACGTGCAGCTGCGTACAGTGCGCAACACTTGAAAATGGCAGTAAAAGCTCGTGTTACAGGTTCATGTGTTTACTGTACTGTTCTTTTTATTGTTATTTTAGGGTGTATTCTTCCTACTTATAAGAAAAAAAAGTTTGCTGTGAAGCAGCAGCTGTGTTACCCCAGCGGCAGTCTCACACACCTGTGTCTGCTGTCTCTCGATGGCATCATTGCCTCTCGTGCTTGGTTCGGTCTCATGGTGTTTTGTCCAGTAACTTGCTGTCCAGGTTGGTAGTGCGTGAGCAATGGGCTGTCGCACGTAGGCCTGTGTTCAGTGCTCTGTGGTGTTCGCACCGCGACGAATCGCCTGATGACTCATTTCTTAGAATGTATCCCAGTCGTCCAGGCGATCGGGGTTCGATTCCCGGTCAGGCCATACCCAGGTTGTGGGCTCAGTCAGTGACTCTCTCATCATTGATGTTTCTGTCTCTCTCCCTCTCCTTTCCTCTCTCTGAAATCAATAAAGATATTTAAAAAAAAAAAGAATGTATCCCAGTCATTAACCTCACATGACTATCTGAACAAGAAATCAAGTCCAGGGTGTTTGAAAATATTAATTTTCATTTAAGTGACCTACTTTATTTATTTATTTTAAAGAGAGGAGGGGGTGGGGACGAGAAACATCAATGTGAGAGAGAAACATCGATCGGTTGCCTTTCATGCACACCCCAACCTGGGTGGAACTGGCAGCCTGGGTATGTGCCCTGACGGGGAATTGAACCTTTTGGTGTATGATGCTCCAGCCAACTGAGCCACACGGGCCAGGATTAAGTGAACTGTTCTAGAAGGGAGAGCAAGCACAACCAGAGGAGAGACGGAGTGGTTCTTCCACTTTCCCTTGGCAGGTGAGCACAGTATAAGTAACCCTGCCAGTGAAGACTTCTAAAGCAGGTCGTAATCACGCAGGAGCCTGCAGAAAAGCCATCTGATTTCAAAAGTAATGGGAAGAAGGAAACAGAAATCACCCCTAACCTTCTCCCAGAGAGAACCCTGTAGACATGGTTTAGTGTGCGTGATGCCGGGCTGGTTCCGGAAGGTGGAGTGCTCACACTCCACCTGTCTCCCCCACTAACTGTGGCCAGAGAGCCTGGACAGCTGTGTGGAGCTGTTGAAGGACTCTGATAAGTAAATGGTGACAGGCGGATTGGGGACAAAGGCCAGAATTTGGAGTCCCACTGCACCAGCAAGGAGGTTCCTGTTTTTCTTCCAGCATCCCCAGCCTGGTCACTGGGTATCTGAAACCCAGAGGTGGGCACAGGTGCGAGCACGGAAAGCTGCAGGAAAAGAGGGCGGGTGAGGGAAGCCACACCTGTCTCCGCCCTGCCCTCCACGCAGTCCTGTGGCCGCAGGAGCCTGTAGATGCCTGAAGCTCGGATGGAGTGGGGGGAGCCCTGTTGCTTTGTCTCTGTCTCTCCTCATGGGGCTTGGCCTGAGACGGGTGGGGTCGCAGGAAGAACACGGTGGAACAGGGAGACTAAAGCCCTAACTTCTGGCTGGAGGACAGAGGAGAGCTCCAGGCAGCTGGAAGGTACACCAGGGAGACTGCAGAGGGAAGAGCTTGGAAAGTGACCCCTAAAGTGGCTTATGAACCTCAGGGCTCAGCGCTGAGCTGTGCACGCACGAGTTTGACCCTGAGCAGGTTGCCAGGGATGTTGGCAACTCAAATAACAGGAACCACGCTAGCCATCCGGACAGCCCCTGAGGGTGAGCTGGCGTGACCACAGCCCGCGGGGAAGGCTGGCCGGGACTCGCAGCCTGAACCCGGCCAGGCCCATGCCTGCCAGAGCAAAAGTACCAGCATTCTCCACAGATTCAAACAAGACCCAAGGTCTCAGCACAGTTTTTTAAATATCCAGGATACAATCCAAAATCACCCAGCATACACAGAACCAGGACAAGCCACCTCACGAGAGAAAATACAGACTGGAAGCAGAAATGCTGCAGATGTCGGGATTACCTGAGAAAGACTTGGGGTTAGGCAGAAACGGCCCTCGTGACCTTCACCCACTGGCATCATTTCTGGGGATATGTTATGTTACACTACAAAAGCACTTTGCAGGTGTAATTTATGGTCCCGACCAGCTAATCTTAAAAAGAGTGAGGTGTCCTGGATCATCCAGCTGGGCCTCATCTATTCCCACAAGCCCCTTAAAGCAGAGCTGGTGCCCCAGCTGCAGCAGAAGGGATGGCGCGAGAGAGGACGCTTCAGCGTGCTTTTGAAGAAGGAAGCCACGGGGTGCAGGTGGCCTCCAGAAGCTGGCGGCCAGCACGGACTGGGGGCCTCAGTCCTGTATCCAAGCAGAACTGAACAGGTCTGAAGTGCCATCTCCCCAGAGCATCCACACAGGACCCCAGCCAGTTGACACCTTGACTTAGACCTATGGGACCCTCAGCAGAGAACTCTGCTGGTCCACATGCACCCACACTGCCAGCCCACAGAAACGGAGATAATAATGGCTGTTATTTTAAGCTGCTACGTTTGTGGTGAGTTGTTATGGTTGCAATAAAAAACTAAAACACGCTTTAAAGCAGCTGTTATTAAAATGCTCCGAGAAGTTAGGGTACTCTTGAAACAAGTGGACAGATAGAATGTCTTGGCCAAAAAATGAAAATATGTAAAGAAAAACAAGTCGGAATTTTAGAGCTGAAAAGTAGGGTCACTGCAGTAAAATGGAGGTGACACAGGAAACCGTGAATTTATAATGCATGGTGTACATTTTCTTAAGTCAGATTTTTTTTGTTTGTTTTTTTAATCTTGAAGAATTTGCCTTATGTTATATTGGCTGGGAGCCAGGGTCCTGGCTGCTGGTCTCTCCTCTCCCCAGATTGGATCTGTGGCCACAGCAAGCGGCTTGATTCTCTGGCTCTGAGTTCTGGTGGACAGAGTGCCTGGGCCAGCGTCTCACTGTGTAGGACCCTCACACACACACCCTCAGCTATGCACTGTTCCAGGGGATCCTGGGACCCTCTATACATTGAAAATTGTTGCTAGACCTGTTCATTTTTAACTTATGGAAAATTCCAAACATTCACAAAAGTAGAGAAGACATACCAAACCCAGCTCCGTAGTCACCGAATGGGCAGTAGCTTGGGGCCGGGAGGGGTGTTTTGTGAGTCTGGTCTGTGGTCCCCTCCACCTCACTAGGTTATTTTAAAGTAAATCCTAGACAGTATTCTGTCCTGTCTTTCGTATATACACAGTACCATTCAGACACCTGGAGAATTAACAGTTCTTCACAACATACAGCACCCAGTTAGGGTTCAGATCTCCCTGACTGTCCCATAAATATTTGGCTCAAGGTCCATGTTTGGCAGGTAACGTCTTTTAACGGTTTCTATTCCCCCCTCCCCACTTTTCTGGCCATTTTTTGAAGAAATTAGGTCATTTTTCTGTGGAATAAATATGCCACATTCTGGTTTCTCTTGTAGTCAATCTTTGAATCATTAGGATACATTTCACTAGCGATGCGTAATGAAGTTACTGAGTTTTAAAGTCACCTGAACAAATTTTCTGTAGTTTAGCCATGGTTTTAATGTACCATTAGGATCATTTGTTTCATTTTTGAGCTTTTAAGACTCGCTTTTCTAAAACACTGATTTAATTTTGTTCCCTAATCACATAAGAACATTTACAAGGTTCCCAAGTCAGCCCGACTCACATCGTGTGTTAGAAGTGGTTCCCCAGCCGCCTCCCCACACTCCCCCCAACCCGTGGGAACCGGTCTCGTTAGCTCCTGGTTCATCGTCTCATCTGAATATAAGCAGATGCTCCTGTTCGTGCTGCTCCTCTAGTCCGACACCTGCTCTCACACTAAAGCAGTGTGTACACATCGGGTCCCCACCTATGTGACGATTCTGATGGTAAATTGGGCGACTTCATATCAAAACAAGAACTGTCGAGAGTCAGGTATCCAGATTCATTTCAGCTCTTAAAGCTTTATTTTTCGTGCCCTGGCTGGGTACCGGATGGTTAGAGGGCGTACCTGTACTCCACGGCTGGGAGGTCCATCCCAGGCCAGGGCATCCCATGAACGCATAAATAAGTGGAACAACAAATCAGTGTTTCTCTCTCCCCCTCCCTTTCTTCCCTCCCTCCCCCCTTCCTCCCTCTCTCTAAAATCAATCAGTAAAAAATGTTTTAACTTTATTTTTTAGTTAATAGAACTTTATTTAGCTTTAAGTGAGACTACCTGATGGTAGGTCAAAATGACTGACATCTGCTTAGTGTCCAGGCAATTCTTTTAAAAACCTAGGGGGTGAAAGTAGAATTGTATGGTTTGCAAATACTGGTTATGTCTAAAGTCATCTCTTTGGACCGTAACCTGTATTCACATCGTGGTGGTGAATTTGCCTGAAAGCAACCTCCCTTTTCCTGCAGACGCGTAGCCACTATTTCATATGCTGGGGGAGGAAGAATGGGCTCACCTGATTTTATAAGGTTTAGTTCACTTTTGGCTGCTAAATTCTATAAATTGCGTGGAGTCTAGAATGCATCTTTCATTTTTTTCACCTGGAGCTGCCTTAGCACAGAATCACGGGACCTTAGAGTCAAAAAGAATCTGACTCCCGTCCCTCCCCTTTCATCATCCAGAATGAGGGTGGGGCTGGGCGTGGGGCAGTGACAGAGCTGTTCATGGTCCAGCTGGACTTGGATCCCTGTGCGCTGCCTCCTGGCTCCCGCCCCCTGGCTCCTGCTCTGTCCTTGTGTCCCACGAGTGCCCGAGTGTCCATCTGCCTGATTATTTGGCCTCTTTTGTCACAGCCTGGGGACACCTTTCTGTTTGCGTGAGCTGCCCTTCAACACCGGAGGTTTTTGAGGCTGGCGACTGCGGCTGCCTTTCCTGGTACTTGAGGGACAGAGCACTGCCCAGGACGTGGATTCTGATCGTTCCTTAGGCTTCACATACGTGACGTTGATCCCGAAGCACCTGCTGGGGCAGGTGTGCAGGTGAGTTCCCCAGCACCCTTCTCCCCAGGTTTTCAAGCGCCAGGCGTGGTTTCTGTGTCATTCAGCAGACGGGCTGTGTCCTGGGGAGGGACTGTCCTCGAAGCCTGCCCTGTTCCCGTGGGTGGGATGCCCTCCTGCCCTCCACTGGCCAGTGTCCATTCCTCATCAGCTCTTGAGGCCTTGCCTGGCAGTGCAGGCTCTGACGGTTTCCTCCAGTTCCTTATGTCGATTGAATTACTCAGTTGCTCACTCTAAAGCCTGTCAGCCTTGCTGCTGGACAGGGAATGAAAAGCGCCCATCTGTTGCACTGTGTCAAAGGGGTAATGCACCCCCGGTGGCGAACCAGGTGACAACCCCATTTGAGTGTCAGCACCAGAAGCTTGTTCCCAGCATGGAACGGGTTTAGGCACATCGGTCATACGTTGGAGTAAGTGCCACACCCTGGGTCCTCGCTGGTCACTGGAAGCACAGCGGGTCCTCACTCAGTCGATAGGTTCTTGGAAACTGACATTAACAGAAACAACATAAACGAAGCCAGTTTTACCAACGGCTAATGATACGAACCAAAGTTTAGTCCCTCCCACATATTTCTGGTCATACAGACATCACCAAACTTATAAATGAAGACCCCAAACACTTCTAATATTAGACATTGAAATAAACATGAGCTACACATACATTTGAGAAAGATTAATACTAAAAACAAGTAAGGTCATGATTTTCTAACCCACTGGTTTCAGTTCAGAGTCTTGGGTGGCTGGGGCCTCTCCTGGCAGCTCAGGGTACAAAGTGGGACCCACCTGGACAGGGGCCCTTCCATCGCAAGGCCAACCACACTCACAAGAATGGGGACCATGTCATGGGCAGTCCCATCCCATGCACACCTTTGGGATCCAGGAGAAACCGAGAGTCCCTGGAGGAAACCCATGTGGACATGGAGACCATGCACCCTCCACACAGACAGTGGCCCCACGGGAATCGATTTTTTATCAACATTATAAGGAAACGACCGTGAACAAAATGGAGTTATTTGAGGACCTGCTGTGTTTTCTGCTTCTAAGAGAAGCAACCAAAAATACTTCCCGGAAGGTGGATTTTTGCACAAGAGGAGTGTGAGCCAGCTCCCTACGCGGTGACGGCTGCTGTGCTGGGAGCAGGAGCCGGGTTTCCAGCAGGGCCGGCGCGCTGTGGCCAAGTCTGGCTGGGCTCGAGTCCCGGCTCTGTCACTCCTGAGTTATGTTTCCGTGGCAGACTTTGTTTTTACTAGACTCTATTTTTTAGAGCAGTTTTTAGTTTGCAGCAAAACTGAGTGAAGCTACAGAGGTTTCCCACATGACCTGGTCCCCACCCTGGCGCGGGCTCCCCGGATGTCAACCCCCTGCCCCCCGGAGGCAGCATTTGTTACAAACCTGCATTGACACGTCATCAGCCAAAGCCTCGCCAGACTTCTGAACCAGTCTTCCAGCTTCAAGGTGGAAATCTGACTCGAGGTGGATTTTAAGTTTTTATGAAATGAGTCTGCACAGGAGGGAGCACTCAGTGTCAGCAGTGGAAGCTGTACCCAGCCGCCAGCAGTGTTTTTAGGGATGAAGACCACAAAGCGCTTCGGCCTGGTGGGAGGAGGGCGGGAAAGGAGCCACAGTCTTCAGAGGTCGCTGGTGGTTTTCACGTCGCTCCCCCTGGCTTTCGGGGAAGGGTCACTGGCAGCAGCAGGGACAGGAGCAGGGGCTGCAGGACCCTGGGTGTCACCTTGGTGTTTCCTAGTCTGACTCGCATAGTCTTGCCTTTGCGATGTTGGTTTACAAGCACACAAAACGGAGCACAGTAGCTTCTGTATGTCGTGACTCGCACCAACGGTTCCGTGCATTTTCCCGTTGTTGACGGGAGGAAGTCATCAGCCGTAAAAAGTGCCTTGAATGGGCAGCCTCCTTCCTACAGGAAGTGTCCAGTTACACGCTCCTTCTGAAGTAGACGACAGACTCCAAGAGTGACGTAGCTGACGTTCGCAGCACTGGGGTTTCTTGAACTTAAAGCTGCATAACTCTTCAGTGGGTAGTTTGTGCCACATCACTGTGTCACAGGTAGATTTTTCTTTGGAAGGTTAGTGCCTCCCGGGGCACTAACTCTCCGTGGATCTGTCTTCCTCAGATGACCCTCTGGATGTGTGTCTGTGGCCTGAGTCTCAGAGTCAGCCGAGCCGATGTTCATGGTGGACTGGATGTAAGTTTGCTGTTCCGACCGGTTTCCTCCTGGGAGGCCTATGTTAGTTTCCCTTGAACTAAGAAGAGCTTTTTCGTGTGTCTGATGGGTCTTTCTTTCCTCTGACAGGTGAGGCAGTGGTAAATGGTGTGCTATTTTAAATAGGTTTTCATGATAAACACAGATACAGAAAAACCACCTGAATCAAGTGCATGGCTTAATGAGTTATAAAGTGAACGCTGTCCTGGGGAAGTAATAGAACTGAGCTCCCTTCCTGTAATGTATCCCAGTGACAGGCCCCCCGACCCCGAGGGACCCCTACCCCAACCCTTCTCGTAATAGCCTCCTTGCATGTTCTCCTTAGTGTTTCCTCCCCCATGTGCCCTCTGGACACCATGGGTGGGTCTTTCTTGCTGTTTTCTTAGGGGGGGGGGTGTAGGCATGACTTTCTTATAATGAGTAGAAGAGAGAAAGCCCGAAGACATTTTTCCATCTAAGATTATTAGGAACAGATACAAATGAGAATTATAAAGTGGAGTAAGAAAGAGAGTCACTTCTAACAATCCACTCTGGTCGTGGGTGTTTTCAGAATTGTGCTTTACTTGAGCTGGGAGGGTACCTTTGGTACCCAAAGTCAAACACCCCAGCTTGTCTCCAAAGAACCTGCGCTGGTGGTTCAGAGTTCACAGCTGTCGTGGGCTGACCGAAAACTTACCTGTTTCACACGGGGGACGCCTTTAAGGTGGGGTCCTGTGGACAGCCCCTCAGGCCTGCACTGACTACTCTGGCGTGTGAAATTGAAGGGAAAGCTCGCCTTTGTGGTTCTCGGAACCTGGATGTCTCAGTTCTACTTTTAGTGACATGAAAACAGTGGTTTCCTGGAGCATTGGTCTGTTTGTCAGCAGCCCTGCCATTGCTTCAGGACTCTGCACCAGGTGCTGCATGATGAGGCGTGCGGTTCGGGTTCTTTGATGCCTGTGACGTTGAGCAAATACTTAGCAGACACTTACACCAAGCGTTTAGTTCCTGCTCTCTGGCACACAATCTGGAGAGAGGATTCTGAAGATGATAGGCAGCTGCTACCCTGGCCCAAACGTGGCGCCCAGGGCTGCGGTCCGTTCTGTGTGCAGGAACTGGGACGGGGGAGGGTGCCTGGTGGAGCGGCACCCTGCCTCGTCCTGCACCCTTGCTGCTCACCTTCCACTTCCCCAGGTTTGATTCCCCACCTTCTCCTTGCTGTCTGATAAACCAGACATGTGTGGAAGTCCCCACCCTGGTGGGCTGGGCAGGCCGTCTCTGCTGGGTAGGTTTTAAGTGGACAGAGGTGGTTGCCTGGCACCTGGTTACTGAGAAGCTTTTTGGATTTAATTCAAGAGCTAAGAAGTTCATGAGTTTGTCTTGATAATAAAATAAGCATGAAAAAAAGGAAAGGGCCAGAGGACTGAGCAATGTATCAGGCACGCAAGGGACTGGGCCGAGAAGTCAGTGAGATCACTCCTCTAAAGCGTTTGCTGCAGACGCGTAGAAGAGTTTTTGAGCAGGGTCACGTGAAATAAACACTTTGGCAGCAACTGTGTTCTTTCTTGGTTATACATCTGGCATTTGTTTTGCCATACTGTATTTTACTATTAAGTATATTTCTTTAAGTTGACTTTCAAACATATAAATACGTATATTTAAGAAGGAAATTTGCCATAAATAGAAGGTAACTGGATTAATAGCTACAATTCAGAGCAAGCAGTCTTAATAGATTCTGGCTGGTACGTAGCCTGTTCTTTGTTAAAAAACTGAAGTGATTTGCCCTGTTCAACTCAACAGCTTAACAGCAGAGACCATCCCTGGGGCACAAGGAGGAGTGGAAAGGGCACTCAGTGTGCCCCAGCTGCTTGGCCCTGCTGGACCTCAGTGTTGTCATCTGTTAAGTGGGCGGTGGATGGTTATTGTGAGGATGGGTAAGGCAGGTGCCTTCCAACCCCAGGTGTGTGGTCCCTGTGAGACACTCACCCAGGCTCTTCTCCGTGCCATGTCTGAAATGACTCCCCGTGCCACCGGTAGCACCCACCCAGCCTGGTGAGACACAGCCTAGAAAAACCAAGGACTGCAAAGCTGGCAGGGACAGGCCTGGTGTCTTGAGCTCCTGTCCTTGGAATTTCCCCACCCATCAGCCGAGATGAGGGGCCTGCTGAGCGCCACCTGACACACGCTGGTGCTGTGCTGCCTGGGACCCATTACCTGTGGCTGGTGGAGCCTGAAAAGGACCAGCCCTGCCAGCCTCATGCCCTCTGCCCACCGAGTGATGGGAGTGATGGCAAGGGGCTCGCATAGGAGCTTCTGTGGGGTTGGTGTGTTCTGGTGCCCTGGCTGCAGAAGCACCTGGGAAGTATTGTTATTGGGGGTGCTTGTTACATTTTCTGTTCCACCAACCAGGTATGAGTAGAAGATAGCTTTTTTTTTTCTTCAATATACCTTTATTGATTTCAGACACAGGAAGGGAGAGGGAGAGAGACAAAAACATCAATGCCCGGCCAGGCGTGGCTCAGCGATTGAGCATCGACCTAGGATCCAGGCGACCGGGGTTTGATTCCCGGCCAGGGCACGTGCCCGGTTGCAGGCTTGATCAATGACTCTCTCATCATTGATGTTTCTATCTCTCTCTCTCTCCCTTTCCTTTCCTCTCTCTGAAATCAATAAAGATATATTAAAAAACAAAAAACAAAAAAAAATCAACGATTAGAGTCATTGATTGGCTGCCTCCTGCACGCCCCCGACTGGGGATCGAGCCACAACCCTGATTGGGAATCGAATCGCAATCTCCTGGATCCTAGGTCAATGCTCAACCGCTGAGCCACGCCGGCCGGGCAAAGATAGTCTTTTTTTAAGTTTTTTTTTAATCTTTTTTTAATCCTCACTTGAGGATGTTTTTTACTGATTTTTCTTTAGAGAGAGGAAGGGAGAGCAAGAGAGGAAAACATCAGTCAGTTGCCTCTCGTACACCCCCGACCAGGGATCGAACCTGCAACCTTTTGGTATAGGGGACGACACTCCAACCAACTGAGCCACTCGGCCAGGCAAGTCTGTATTTTTATGTAATTTAAGACTTATTGGAGTTGCAAAAATCATGCAGAGGATTCCTGTGTACCTGATCATTTTTTTCAGTGTTTTAATATCTAAATAGCTGGTGATGATTCTTTGCGTTTGTTTTGCTGTAGCGTATCCCTACTCGTAGCTGGTGAAGAATGGGCGAGATAGAAGGGACATACAGAGCCCTGCAGACCCCAGGGGCTCGCCTGGGCGCCCAGCCCCTCACGGGTGTGAGCACCCTGGAGCCCGGGCAGGCTCCCTCGGCTGGGATGGCACGGATGGCGGCCAGAACACAGGAGACGCGCTCTCCCCTCAGGGTAAAGCTGCTGGACAA